CAGAATCGATGCCAGCGGAATGGCCGTGCCTGCAGCAGTCGACCCGAACATCTTGATTATGGCGAATATTGAACTCCGCATGTCAATGCACATCATCCGGACCTCGATTGGCAATGACTCGAACATGTCTCTGGAGAGGGTGCTGCGAGCTGTGTTCGCTCCTATTTCATAGAGCGAGGGCGGATTATATCTATCTTCTGAACTTTCAAGTTTGTTCTCAGCACTTGTCTCGGAAGAGAGCAGTTCTACTTTGGATAGAGGCTATAATGTGCTTTTTTGTGCTTAATACAACATTCATGCGTACTGGGCAATTGGCAAAAGTCCTGTTTCTGTTATATTTACCCCTCTCATACTTTTCTTTTTCCTTATTTTCCTTTCTTTACTCTCATTGTTCCTTCCATTGCCATTCCCCCGCGGGTGTCTCAGTGGAAGTGTCTTCATATGAGTCGTCTAAACAGCCTTGTAGACGTGTGCAAGTCTTGCGTTATGAAAGTCGTGTGAATGGCCTAAGGACTAGGGGAGCGCTTAAAGTAGAGCTGCGACTTGAAGCGTGGGAGTCAGCGATGCAAGCGCGAACGGGTTCCGCAGTGCGCAACTTCAGTGACAGGAATCTCATGGAACACACCAGCTGGTAAACGTCCACTGCACGCGCGACCTGGGCAGAGTGGTGCACAGCTGGTGCCATCTCAGCCGCGAACTTCGTGAGTCCGCAGTCCATTAAGACTTCCCAAGGCGTGCGTAAGCATGGCAATCAGCCTCCCGAAAGGCGCCGCCTCATGATGATCTTGAAAGTAAAGCAGGGCCACGTACGCGTTTCTGTTGTTCAAGTAGGACTTGGATCTTCTTGATTAACGCATGCAAATACAATGCTGGAAGTGCTCGCAGCGGTCATGGTTACAGTCGACAGTCAGGCTTTCAAGGAAAGTGCAGTGGCAATACTTTTGCTAGGTCGACTTGACTTTTGCTTTTTTTTTTCGCTGCATGAATCTGTGCAAGAGGCCCCAAAGCAAGGCGATGGAACAACCTACCCCGACCGGCCTCACACAGTAAAGCTGACCGGCTAGCTTGCGAGCTGCGCGGCTGATTCAAATTTTCGCCAAGACGACTCGTGTTGATGGTGCATGTTCATGCTCTTGTTCTTGTTGACTTTCTCTTGTGAGTCATACCCACTTTGGGGGATCGGACAGAACTTGAGTGGTCTCATAAAATGTTATTCAATTTAGAGTGATTGCAGTTTTAAAGTGAAAATTTCATAAACTGTAGAACGAATTGTTTATGCACTCAAATGTTTCTAATCTAAACCTTTGTTAAATAAAAGGTAATAACCGAAATCAAGACCTAAGTTTTAAAAAATTAAAATTAAGAAACTTACGTGTATGTTGCCACAGAAGGATAATGATATAGATTAGTTTGTTAGTATTGTGGTTTCATTCAGATAACTCCGCACAGCCGCGCAAACTTTGCAATGGCAAACTCAGAACTAGAGGTATGTTCGTACACTCCCTCGTTTTCCTTTGTTAGCTTAGTTTTCCATCCGAGCAGGCACTTACCCACCCAGAGTTTGGCAACTATTTGCTGCATGCCCACCCCCCGGGCGCCAACCCTCAGCTGCACTTATTTTTTTCGCCATGACATGGCGGTCACAAATGACACTCGGCACATTCGGCAGTAGTTCGAACAAGAAAAACATCTAGAAACTTATTTTGAATTTTCACGCAACATGACAGCCACCCT